CTTGACTATGAATATTTCTTTTGTATTCAGCAGTGAGTACATAATACATTATTTGGACTTAATTGCTTTTGTTTCCTTTAGAATATGATATTAAAACATTAAGTAGCTAAAAAGGATAAAGAAAAAAATAGGTGGAAAAGTTTCACTATGATAAAAAGAAAATTGAAAGTAGTTACAAGTGGTATTCCATCATAATTTCCTATATTAAAAGTAAGAGCAGTTACTTTCTCCAATGTTAATAATAGTAATCTATAGTAAACCCATGGCAATAAATTACCCTAGGCAAAGTTTATCTCACTTTCAGGTAATAAATTTTATTTGTTGAAATTCTGTCTGTGGGCTGTTTTGTTGCACACCTATTATAGTTTTGTTCTACCTCATTCTCAAACAGAGTTCTGGATTTTCCACCAATGTACAAGACCAGAAGATCGCAAATATGTTTGAATTGTCTGTGCCTTTCCGCCAACAGCATTATTTGGCAGGACTTGTGTTGACAGAGCTGGCTGTTATTTTAGACCCTGATGCTGAAGGGTGAGTAGAGCAGTGTTTGCCTTGTAGAATATGTTTGATTTTGGACAATGGGACAGAAGTAGCCCACTTCCACTTCTAAGAATGAAAATAGTACTCTTTCCCACTCTTCTTCTACTTCTCTATTTACCAACTTCTAGACCATGTTATTTCTGTATTTCATAGATTTTTAAGAAAGACATTTTTTATATTTTGTCATCTCTGAATTTTTGGTTTGTCTTAAAATCAATGGTGTATCATGGCTTATTTGGTAGCATTTTTTTTTCCTTAACAGTAAATAAAATATTTGTGCATTCTAATAGATGGACTCTTAGATTTGTTGTTAAACAATAGAGAGGCACATTTTAGATGAGGAGGATAGACTAGTCTTCTATTCGATTCCTTGTGAGGGAAATTTATCATTTGCCATCATGCTATGTCACATTTTACTTCAAAATTGCCCTATAAACAAAATCCTTAGGTTTTAAAATTTTTCAACACTTTTAGAGTACTTTTGGAAATTGATACAGAAGGAAAAGGAAGGGCATATTGTCTGATGATTTGAATTTATAATAGTAGCCTGATATGTTGTGGTCTAGCATCCTTATAGTATATTTCCATCTTAATAGATATTTTCAAAAATCTATTTGACCATAACTCATTTGGATAATTACTTTTTCCCCCTCAATTTTTCTCATAATAGGATTACTAGGAGTTTATAATGCAATTTAACCTCATGTATACGAGCTTCAGAGAACAAAAGGAGATATCTTTGAGCAGGTTTTACAAGGGTCCTCTGATGTATTTGTTGAGTTAATGAAAGAGGAGGTTTGAAAAGTTCTTAGTGATAGTCAATGCTCAATTAATTGTGAAAGGCTAAATCTTCTGCAAATGAAAGGCATGCCTTTTTCATAATGGCAACTTCCCATTTTAGGAATATATGTTAACGACATAGTTGTTCACACTGCGTTCTGCAGAACTATAGGGTTCTGAAGAGGTGCTTCATGGGTTTTCATGTGGGGTGGGGTGGGGGTTGCAGACACTGAACTATGAAGAGGACAGACTAAGTGAGCAAAACTCTGGGCCTTCCATCCTAGCATGCCGCCACCTTTATATGTGGCATTTGACATATGCATATGATAATCATTTTTGGGGAAAGAGGGATCCATTGTTTGAAAAAAACACACTCTGAAAACAACCTCTAAACATACTAGCTTTCTTTAATAACTGGTATATCAATCATTTGAATGCATATTTCCAATATTTGTCTTGATATGTCAAGATATTTTTGGTTACAGGAAATAGAGAACCTTTCTTCATACTGGCTTTATTAAAAGAAGGAAATTTATTATTTCATAATTAAAAGAAAGATAGGTAGGAGTTTTTTTGCACAGTACAATCAGCAGCTCAATGATATCAGATTTCTAGCTCTTTATATTTCTTTCCTGTTCTAGATGCCTTATCCTAGGGCCGGTGCCTCATGACTGCAAGATAGATGTCACTGGTAGCTCAGATTAAATTCTTACTTGTTCTTGTCCAGCAGGAGAGAGAGGGAAAACCCTCTTCCCAAGCATGCAATGTAAATTTTTCCTTTGGACTGATTTGATTCACTTGTCTATCCTGTACTGTCACAGTCACCAGTGCAATGCCAGGATGCTGGATGGATTAGATCAGTTCTACCCAAATGTGGTGCTTAGACTAGTATCGGTTCATGGTTTTTTACAAAGCACAGCAAAATAATTGTAAGTCAACTATGCCACTAAACATAGCATTTTGTTCATATGACTTTTTTTTTTTTTTGGTAGACCTTCTCAATTAACGAAGCAGTGCATTGATTAACATTTATTTCTTCTCAGACTGATAACAAAACAGTTTGCTAACTGACTGCTTTAAGTAGCA